AGTTGTCTCTTGTTTTACACTCAATGTGTAAGGTCTTTGTAAATGAAATGACTTTGTACTCTGTGCTATAATATGCAGCAGAAGGGAGGATTAGTAAAAGCACATAACTTTTAGGTGCTATAGTAATATGCACAAATAGATAAATTTTTAATAGAATAATCTCTCATTGAAAAAAAAGTCAAATATATTTTCAGAGATGAACAAATAAGCTATCACTAATAATTTCCCAAGGGAACAAAAGAAATGGGGACTATTGTTCTGCTCCTGTCCTATTCTCCAGGAAGTACATCTTCACTCTCTCTCACTTGCATTGGATTGCAATAATAAAGACTGATACTTAGAACAGAGTAATGAGAATATCAATTGCAGTTGTAATAAGAAGGCTACAGCTTTTAAAGCAGTATCTTCCTTTTGAAGATGAAAATCTTCATCTTTTGAAGATGAAAAACCAATGAAAATCACGAGTTTCCTGTAGACTAGGAACAGATTTATCTCCTTGGCACAAAGTTGCACAGTCCTTTGTTAGGTTTGTTCTAGAACCATCACCAAAAGACATTCTGTCACCATTTGAAACTGGATATTAGTCTTAGGTGTGCTGGTGGTCTGGCTTGGTCCTGAATTCCCTTTGTTTTCATAATAGTAATTTATTTTAAATTATGACCATGTCATTACATTACAAAATAATACTTGTTACTGCCTAGCATTGCAAGAATAACAATAGGAAGTATAAGAGGTTTAAGAAATACAGCTTGTGGGATATAGTGAAGTTATATATTTATTGGTGGAAAAAATAAGACTAAGGGTGGACAAAACAACAGCCACCTAAAGCATTAAAAAAAACCCCAGCCACACATTACAGTGAATGTGAGGATAAATTCTGTTCCAGTTCTGTTAGCAGAAGAATAAGGAAAAACCAGCTGAATTTTGTAACAAAAAACCCATAATTTGATATAAGTAAAGCCTTTTAATTAGGAGGTAACAAAACATTGGAACATGGTAACAAGGGACGTGGTAGATACTCCTTAACTAGAGACCATTAGGACCATGTTGTATATGTACTTAATCCTACTTTACAGCAGGATTTTGAAACAGTGACTCCTGAGAAAACCAAATCTCTCTGTCCTTGAAAGTACTGAGCAGAACCAAAAATGCCAGACTGAAAGGCATTCCTTTTGTGGAAATTGGTGTTGTCTTTGCTTGTTCTAATAACATCAAGCAAACAACAACAATAAAGTGGAAAAATTCATGTAAGCCAATCTAATTCATTAATATGCAGTTTCTGAAACATATTTCTTATCTCAAGCAGAGGCCTAACATGATGTTGTTTCAGTTGCAAGTTCTGTTTTGTGCATCAGTGTTATGATTATAGTGAAATGTGTCTCCCTTGTATGTTGCTGTCTTTAATTTTCACGTAATAAGATAAAGAAGAAAGGGTATTGTAACTAACACCTACAGATTATTGTGTTAGAAAAAGCTTGAACGGATAGAAACCTTCATAGTTTCATCTATACATTTGTTCATTTGTACTATGTATACTGGTTATTTGTCCTAGTTGCATTTTATATGTTTGATTACTGATAATCTTAGTGTATTATAGTGCTGCTGCTCTATTTTTCTTCCAGAAAAGACTTTTATGGACTCATTTTCATTGACCAGTTTAAGTTTCATGC